ATCCGTGTCAAGTCCCTCCATCTTGCACCACTGACAAGTGGACACCCAGCCGGAAAATCCAGATGAACTTTCTCGTCAACACTGGGATCAAACCCACGAGCTCCAGGCTCGTGAGCCAGCATCTTACTTGCTTAGCCACCACAGCTTCCCAATTCAATGGCAAGTAGACAGTTAATTTCCCTCATAGATATGACATATGCCCGTCTTCATTATCCTACTTTGTGAAAGGAAGTAGGGTCTTAAACTCCATTTCATTTCAAGGCCAATATATTTGCAATTTGAACAACATCTTTAGAAACTAAAATTAAAGATACATTATGGGAGATTAGATAAAGAGCTGACAGTTCTCACTATAATACATTAGTTAAAAACTAGATAATGTAAAGGGAATTTGCTGAAAATTTCAGTCAAATTGGTCCACTCTGAACCAAGATTTTAGCGATTGAATATTCGGCCTAGCCTCGATCATCATTACTAAAGTCAGGATGATAAAAAACATAGTCTCGATTATCCATTTCATGATTAAATTATGAATGAATGTCGATCAGCAAATCAGAACCTAATCCAATAAACATTGCAGACTAGCAATGCCATCGAAAGGTGATTATGGTCTGGATAAGTTAATGAATGTCTAATTAATAATTTAAATAACATTTCAGGCCTAAAGAAAGACCTGCAATTGGCAGATTTAGCTCTTGTATAATGTATGTTTAAGTTAATGTAATCAAAAACACAATATTCAAGTTAAAGATGCATTATGTAAGGTCTGTCTTTGGCTTTAAATATTATATAAATAAAGACATTCATTTACATGACAAGCCTATAGCCGAGATTTAAACCTGCGAGATATAAAAATATTAGCAATAAAATGGACAATCAAGGCATAGGTATCGTTGCTATGATAATATACGTTCTATGGTACATCTTCAATCAGTTATAACTTTGTCCAGAATCAAGTAATTTGAATGTAATTTTCAATATATTCATTTATCATTATCTATCTTTGAACTATTATAGCAAAAACGGCCAGCTCTTTATCTAAATCTTACATAATGTATCTTTAAGAAATCTGATGATCAAGTGAGAAATCTGTTTACACTTATCAAGTACGGTATGTGCAGTTCCTGTTTTCAATTAATGGTAGACTAGAAATTTTTATAATAATATTTATTAACATGTAGTTCAAATACTGAAAGCAAATCTGTTATTTTCCTATCACTGAGTTGGAAAATTCCAGATTGGAATTGGGTTTTAACGTCTCATCAACACAATACTTTGGTCATTTTGAGACTAAACATGGTTCTTTTATTTTCTATGTTCAATATCAGGGAGGTGGATTTTGCCCACACAGCAGAATTTCAGCCTACTCTTTATTAGAATCTGTCTGTCGACGGTTCTTTTAAGTGCACACTAAAGTTGTCAGGTCCTCCATCCAACAACAACAACGGTAAACATTGCTGAAATATCTTCGATAACTTTTCTCAGCCAACATCGGAATCGAACCAGTGATCTCTTGATTATTGAGCCAACGCCTTACACTGTAACCCGGGTATTATTTAATCTTGTGTATTTAGCACTTATTTCTTTCACATTCATTCAATTAAGAAATCTTTGTTTAAAAATCCGTATAAATCATTTAAAATCATCAAAATTCATCTAATTTGTACTTGTGTCCAGTTTAAAGCTGACCATTCAATTTTGATGTTGAGTGTCTAATTAATATTTTATTTCATATGACCTAAGTAAACATCTTGTGCTCTTATAATATTCATGAAGAATAGTAACACTATCTTAGTATAACAGAGATCAGTTTAGTAAATATATGATTTATTTACATAGGAACAGAATATAACATTACTACATCATATAACTATGTTAAATCCAGCATTCTGTCCCTCTGCCAAGGCAGTGGCTGAACTCGGGTGAGTCCATACGCCGGTCTCTCTCTGCCCTGTCTCTGTTCGTCTGCCTAACTGTCAGCAAAATCCGGTTTATATAGCGTAGAATAATTAGCAAAAAGTGATCATCATATATATGGTATTGTTTATTTATCAGATTATGGTATCTGTAACCGCACTGCGTATTTCCTTTGAAGTCATGAAGTTCTGCTGAGTGTTATACACAAATCATGTGTAGCTTGTAAAGGACATTTTAAATTAATTCGATGTTAAATAAGTTTGTGCCTTAACAGAAGTTTATACAGAGGTGAAACGTCAATATCATATATTATCAAAACTAGCAGAGGTCATGAAGCTCTATGCACCTAAATGATCGTTCAATTTGAAGAAAGGTATAGATCACTTTGTCACAGAAACAAGCTTCAATATATGCTATAGAAATAATAATTAGTCATAAATTAATTTATAAATGAAAGTGTTTTGAATAGAATTATGGATAAACATTTCGAATAATTAAATCTGGACAATATATAAACCTTGTGAACTGCATCATTAGCCAAGTTATCAAAGAAATGAATCAAATGCGAATGTCAATTAAAGATGCATTATTTAAGAGCTAAATCGGCCTATTGCAGGTCTTTATTTTGACTTCAAATATTATATAAACTATTATTTAGACAAATAACGAACTCTTCTAAACGATCAGAAGGACGGGATTTATCAGGATTAAAACAACCACGAGATTTAAAATTTAACGATTATTTAGACATATAATATACTCTCTAGACGATCAGATGGACAGGATTTACCAGGATTAGAATGACAGTGAGATTTAAAAATTTAACGATAAAAAGGATTGTCTAGACAAAATTTCTATTGTCAAGTACCTAATCAGAATGATATTTTCAATATATTATTCATTTTTCATTATCTATTTTTGAACCATTATAGCAAGAATAGCTTTCTATATCTATCTATCTAAATCTTACATAATGCATCTTTTATGCTGCATAACAGCAGTAGATCAATATCCTATATTAAATATTATGGTTGTCAAATACAGCCACAAAATTTGTAATTTATGAATATTGTGTGATATTTTGTATTTTAGCAAAGATATGTTCATTATTTCAGTCTGAAAATATTCCAAAACAAACAATAGGCATGTGAAGTAAAGACTAGGCTTTGTTGTAATTTAATACTGCAAATAAAGTGAATCATTGAGATCTTGCAAAAATTAGAGAGATTTTTTCAAAAATTTGTGAATTTTTTTAAAAATTTGTGAATTTTTTTAAAAATTAGTGAGATTTTTCAAAAATTTGTGAGATTTTTCAAACGTTTGTGAGATTTTTCACAAATTTGTGAATTTTTTCAAAAATTTGTGAGATTTTTCACAAAATTAAACAGGCATTATGCAAGAGCTAAATCTGCCAATTGCAGGTCTTTCTTTAGGTCTGAAATGTTATAGAGATTATTAATTAGGCATTAATTAACTTACCAAGTCCATAATCAACTCTCGATGCCATGATATAAGTAGATTTCAATACCTTTTGTGGTCAATGCGGTTACCGTAAAAATGGATAATCAAGACTTTGTTTATTATTGTAACAATGGTAGTAATGACAATCGAAGCTAGGCTATAATTTTCAGCATATTCTCTTTTCATTCTCTATTTTCTAACTAATACAGTAAGAACTGTCAACTCTTTTTCTAATCTTACCTAATGCTTTTTTAAACAAGACATATTGCATTACATCGATATATCGGTAAATTTTTACGAACAACCTACTAAACATAGTCAAGAAAGGCTCATTAATATTATTTATTCACAAGAAAGATATAATTAATCACAATAGCTTTTTCAATATTTACAGTTCATCACGATGTTTCAGAGTCTTCCTACTCAGATATTGGAATTAATAGTTTTATCAATTGATTTACATGATGTTACCTAGCAACTTATTTATAGCATCCTGTTCAAATCTCTTTGATCTCAACAAAATTGTTAATTTGGCCTTAGAAAAAAAAAATAATTCTTTGCATTTCAGATTAATAAAGAAATCATGAAATGTCAAAAGAAAGGAAATTAGGAAATTAAAATGATGAAACTAATCTGTACAATTACATTTTCATGAAGCAGATAGTTTAGATTCTACGAGGTTTTTGTGTCTAAGGAACTAATTTAGAAAGAATTTACAATATACATGTAGTGTCGAGACAACAAAATATTTTTGAAACCTGTCCTAATCAATCTAGCCTTGAATTAACAGCGAGTCCCATCAATTATTCTCCTGTCCAGTCTTTAGTCACTATCATTTACTCCCATGCAACATACAGACTTGTAATGTAATAGACAGTCTTGTTGTATACTATGGAGTCTCACCATATGATATACAGTCTCACCATGTAATATACACCATACAGTCTGACTCACCATGTAATGCACATCTAACCATGTAATACACAGTCTAACCACGTAATACACTGTCTAACCAAGTGAAATATAGTCTCCGCATGTGATATATAGTCTCAGCATGTAATATACAGTCTCACCATGTAATATACAGTCTCACCATGTAATATACATGCACAGTCTCGCCATACAGTCTCATTCAGCATGTGGTATATAGTCTGACCGATCATGTAATATACATTCTAACCATGTAATATACAGTCCACCATGTAATATACAGTCTAACCATGTAATACACAGTCTCACCATGTAATACACTGTCTCACACATCATGTAATATACAGTCTAACTATATAATACAGTCTCACCACGTAATATAAAGTCTCGCCTACCATGCAATATACAGTCTCGCCTACCATGCAATATACAGTCTAACCATGTAATACACAGTTTCACCATGTAATATACAGTTTCACCTACCATGCAATATACAGTCTCACCATGATTTGTTCACAACTTGAATGATATTTTAAAGGTATTTACTGAGGTTTTTTTAAAACCATATTGGCAACTCAAGTATTGACAAAATAGCATTGTATCAGCCAATACCAATTTCGATCAATACGACTATTATCAGCCAATTACCTTTAAATTTATTTTTCAGTAACGATAAATGTAAAGAAACTTACCTTGATACAAACACACAATGATAAAGGTATGGTAAAAACAACAATGACATAACACAGTATCGTTAATATCATTGCACAACCTCCACTTGAGTCTTCATTTTCATTGGCTGAAATGAAGAAAACCGATAAAATTGATACTATGCATTTTCATTGGCTGAAATATCAAAACCGATAAAATGCATTTTGTTTCTTTATTACATATATATATATTTATTTACATAAGTTACGAGTCATGAAAATTGCTACATTATTACTAACATCGGAAATGAAATGGGGTTTATGAAGATGAGCATGGCCACGTAGTGCGTATAATTTTTCACAGATAGTGACATTGCAGCCTGTGAATAGAAGTCAATAATTTGGTAGTGAAATTGTTAGTATTAATTGTTGGTTGCTAAGTAAATTTTATCTTTCAATAACTCATAATGTAACCTAGTTGATTTTCTCAAAATCTGGGCCCTTATTCACGAAAACTTAAACTAAGATACAATTGAAATTTTAAAAAATACTGCAATTCGATTGGCTGACCAGTAAAATCAATTTGCATATATCCAATAAAGTTGCAGTATTTCTTAAAATTTCGGTTGTAACTTAGTTTAAGTTTTCGTGAATAAGGGCCCTGGTTTTGAAATCCTCTCCAATTGACCTGGATGTATTTGGTACCAAAATGAAGCTTGGATAACTTAATATGGTCAAATTGCTACCATGGACCTTATAATATTATAAGGTCCGTGTTGCTACTTACTACCCATTTTGATGTAATGGGTCACATATATGTGAATGTGTATCTTTCAATGGACTCAAGTCTGGAAATAAGGCACCTGTCACAGACATTGTCAGGCACGAATTCAGGCTTTGTCAGTCTCAATCGCTTTAGTCCCTGTTAATTTGTCAGGCATATTTTGTCTTTTTGCTGTGTTTTTACTGAAATTTATCAAAACATATCCTGCACAAATTTCATAATTGTCAGGTGAACTAAAATTATAATTTCCATGCCTGACTGGACTTAATTAAAATCACAAACATTCCACCTGACATTTCATTTACTCAATGAAATATGAACTCAGATCGGAGATAAAATAGGGGTCAAATGTTCAGTGATAAACAATAGACAGGTAAAATCCTATTGTCCTTCTATATTCTGGCCTATCTTGGTTGTACTGGTGAGGTAGGACAATTGTAATTTACAACATGGTGACAGAAGAACAAAAAAACAAAAACAAAAACAATGACCATAACCTTGACCTCGACAAAATAGTTGAATACAGAAAATAGCTGATAATCTTGTTTTACTGACTGTACAGTCTTCATCACACGGGGAATGACCCTAAGGTCAATTTAATTAAAAGTTCAGATGCACCAGTTTGAAATGAAATGGGATTTAACGTCCCACGTTTTGCTCCGACTGGGCTAATGAAGATTGAAGACGAGCATATGCCATACAGTGTGCTACGATATAAATTTTACTCGGGCAGTGGCGCTATGGCCTACTGTTATATCGAATTCCAACTGTCAAGAGATCTTTTACGTGCACGCCAATGTACACATGGGTCCTCGGTTTTTCGTTCCATCCGAACGACTAGACAGCTGTCCTTGTCATGCCTGAGCATTACAAGTCGCCATCTTTTATTGGTAGTTGAGAAACGGTTAGATCTAATTGATAAGGTCAACTTAAGGTTTGGTCAAAGGTCACGAGATGTAAACAGGGCTAGTGCTAATCCCACCCCTGACCCTGGACCTAGCCCTAATGCTTACCCTAACCCTAATCTACAATCTCGCCAACAATCACGTGCCCTAACCTTATTTACATATCAGCAACCTTGACGAAAATTGAGTTGGCCTTAACAAATAGATCTAAGCCCTGAGAAACCGGATGGGCCTACATGTAGTTTAAATCTGAATGAATCCAACCAAGCAAATTATCTAGCATTTGGTATTTTGATTTTTTTTCTTAATTAAATGTTCAATAATCAATCTAAGTTCATATTTACCGAGTACAAGTATAAGGCCGTGAGAATTTTGATATTTTAGCCAAAATGCAAATGGCGCATGGGACTCTTAAAATGTCTGATTGTCTAGATCCAATATCATTTTGCATAGGCCTACACTGGTCTTTTAATCCAGAATAACCATTGTCTGGGTCATATATTATCTTATTATTCTTAATTCTGTTTCTAATCTCGAATCTTTATTTATATATCCGTCTATAGTAAACAAAATATCTTATTTTAAAACTTGGTTAGACCAGACAGTTAGTTATTAATCTGTCAGATAACTTTAATTATAACTTTTCAGGCTGTCTAGTAGTAAGTGATTGATTTGTTATTTTCTTTTACAAATGTTTTAAATGTCTCAAGATTTAATCTTCCTTCAATTGTATGTTTATGATGGAATCGAATCCATGACTCCATACAAATACATGGTGTGAGCCAAAGGGAATTCCCCACAACCAAGTCATATTTAGCATGAGGTTATGTTCAAGACACAATAACAATCTATAATGTATATAGATGTCCTGTAACATACAAAGTACACCATTTTCATCTATGCTATTTTTAGGTTCACACTTTCTTTGCCCCTATTCCTTGAAATCTTTTGTTAGATTAGACCTAATCTCACTCAAAGAGAGGGATTTCTCGAGCCATTTTTTCAAGAAATATACTTTATTTTTTACCTAATCATCATTGCATAGATCAATAAATCAGGAGTCAATGTGTCATGTTCTTCCTTGAATATGAATATAACTCTTTCTTTCTGGTAGATTTATCTCCTCTAAATAGGGTAATGTACAATAAATTGATGATAATATCATCTGCACACCAATGCATGATTATAATTAAATAAAATATTGACATAACTACTGTTATCTATTTACAATATTCCAGCTACCGGTAATCATAATTAAAACATGCCGTTATGTTATAACGCACACCTTTTGACATACATGTAGGTTGGTTTCTCTACTCTAAATACGGTAATAAATTAATAAATAAGCGATGACAATGTATCTACACGTACCATTGCATGATTACATTCAAATAAACTGTGTCCCTTTAAAATAATCAAATTACCGTTATCTATATATTCCAGCTAATTATTATTAAGACATGCCGTTATATTGTAACGCACACCTTTTGACTTGTGTAATAGCAAGTTATTATACCAGGCACGTGTGAACCTGGTAAACAATGTTCTATTTGCAGCCTCGCTCAATTATTCACCTCTGTATATCAAAATAACGCTTACCTCCAAAGACAAAATCTTGGTCGGGGCCAGCAGCATTTGTACTTAACTTTCTTTCTGCCATTTTAATTCCGTTAGGTCCCTAAATGTAACTGCACTGCACTACGATTATCAGTCGGATCAAGCCTTCAACTGATAACCACAGACCAAAACATTACTGAATAGCGGCTCAATACAGTGACGTCATAACAAGTGCGCGAAATGGAAGGCAGTCATTTGTCTATAATACAGACAACATGTACTGTTGCTTCATTTTGTTTGGCATTATCGGCTGTTGTAGCAACAGTTTAACGTAGGTGTAGACCTACACTAATTACGCAATAAGCCAATCACATGCCAAAATATTAAGAATCTATATTTCGAAATCAATTAAACGGAAACCGAGCAACATAGGCGATTGTTAGATTGGGGATCGGTCACTTTTAGCCCTGCATCGGCTAAATATGGCTTTCAACTGAAAAATTATTGCAACACAAAAGTTTTTATTTATTCACCTTCCTATCGTCATTGTTAGTTTATCTTTACTCGTGGTAAATAGAGAATCTTCTACGGGTCTTTTTTTATGAGAAAGTAGAAGATTTTATTTATAAACCAACACAAGTCTTACAGTACAAATAAATAAATATAATTTTTGGTATATATATATTTTATTTCACGTAAGCGATATCTCCTAGAATATGAAAGTTACCACACAAGCGATATCTACTGTAAAATGTGTTATTGTGTGATAATTTATGTTTATTAATTATATTTTGTCTGTATAAACGGCTTTTATGTTAAATAGATAGTGTTTAAATGAAACTCGTGTATTAATTAACCTACATGTATACTATGAACCATTATCTGTGTATTAATATTAAGACATGTAATATGTAAAGTGGACTTCTTGTTCCACTTTTATTTTTAGCGTATGTCGTATCAATGTACTGTACTATTACAACATGTTATTTATATGGGTTTGATAAAGTTTGTCGCATGCCAACCCCCCACCCTACCCTTACTTAAATCGAACTGGACTTTTATTGCAAACGCGGATGACCCAATATACCGTCAAATTGTCTTTTTAAAAAATACCTTTTAACTTTTTTAGCATGAAAACAGATCAATATTGGCCCATAGCTTGTTTTTCTATCTGTATCAATTATTATATTATTTACTACATTATTTTGTTTTAACCGAGTTTCCTTCCACTTTTGGGTGTCTATAAGCGATATTCGCGCCAATTTTATTTATTGGATCGATATGTAGGCCTGCATTTAAATTCTACGGTTCTGTGAATCAGTTGGTATTGAGAACAAACACGCTTTTAGTAATGGAGTGATCAAACAATTGGCTGACATTTAACACATCGACTGTGTAAACAATTGCATTAAAGTAGCTTTTCTTTTATTGTTTTTTTCCATAATCGGCATGGCTTTGATATATACTGTAGATTACTATGGTTACTAATGGCTTGCCAATACATTTCCGTGAAAGGGGAAAATTACCTTTTATTGTTATAGTTTTAATAATGGATTATTATATATAATGAACCCCAAAACAATAGTTTTAATGTGGTTTTACTGTTTAGGCTGCACAGTAAATTAAAATAATTACAGAGAAAAAGGAAGTGGAGTAAAACGTTTGGCACAGACATACGACATAATTATAGTACGTGGAATACATTACCAGTACTGTTATTACTACTTTCGACCTTGAGGATTCTTTTTTTTCAAACAATGAAATACCGCTCAGTAATACAGAAATTGTATTCCGTGGAATTGTGTCCTGTATATTTCCAGCAGGGGCGTGATGACCCATGACTTTGCATGAGGAACAAGATCTCGTCCAGGCCCCCAAAAACTCAAGGGGGCGCAAAAACTCA